ACTTTCGCCTGCCAAATAACCCAATGTGCAGCCTGACCGATTTCCGACTGCTTTGCAAATACTGCACCTTTTAGATTTATTCGTCCCGTGCCAATCCCAACGATGACTAAAAAGCTAGCATTTCCACCTCGCAGCCTATATCAGCATAATAATTTTTTTGGGAAAAGTTAAGACGGAGACCATAAGCTGGGGAAATGGAAGAGACTTAAATAGAGTCGGTACAAACGCAAGTGCAAAAGCAAGTCAGGAAGCAAATATATAGACAGGGATCAAAACTAGTGGAAGAAAGTGAATATGCGATTTCAAGGAGTGAGGTCGATTTCAACGAATTTTGAGTCATCCGTGGAGCGAGAATTATCGCCAATCTCACCAGTGGCTTGGTTACTGCCACCTTCTATGCACTGGCTGTGGAGAGAAACAGTGGAGGGCGCGGGTGAGGGGTTAAAAAGTGGTGTCTGCGACGGCCGATCTAGCGTAATGCAAAGAAAGAGAGAGAAGTGAACAAAGTGGGGATTTAATATGAAATGGGTGAAGGATAAGATCAAAAACTGTGATATGCATTACCAATTCAAAGTATTTAACAAAGGTACGCACATAGATGTTGGATAACGTGCGGCGATAAGGTTGACGTCACAGTGGGCATGTTTGAGAAAGCTGGGATGGAAGCGGAGTGCTGAGTCAGACTAGTCGCCCCAGTCGCGGAGGCAAAATCGTGAGCTGTGGATCCTCTGCGGGTCAGCATCGATGGAGTAGCTGCAGGAGTGGAGGTTTCCGTTCCAGCATTGCAGTTATCAAAAATCTGATTGAGCATGAAGAGGAGACAGTCCTGTGAGTCCCAGTAGACAGCGTGACTGGAGAGGGCGAAAAGGTAGTCATTGAGACTCTCCAGAGGACCCTCCTAAATTGGAAAAGACAAGATTCTACCCAACGATACAACCGAGGTTAAAACTGATGGTAGTGATAAGACTCGTTGAAACAAGCCAACAACGCACGTTCAATATAACAGACGGTTTGTTAATTACCCTAGGATTACCATCTACAATCAGTATGCCTACAAACTAGCCCAGCCGCGCAACAAGACCGAACTAACCTGCAGCACGTAGTCTAGCCGCCGGCCCCGATTTAATTGACTTGGGAAGGTGTCTTTGTCAACGTCATCTTCATCGTCGTAGGTGTCGGAATCATCGCCGCTACGTGGAGGCGGCTCTCCAATACCATCGGCAAGACGGGAGAGGACACGTTTAATTGCCTCCGACTCCTCCTCCTCCTCCTTACCCTCGTCCTCCTCCCCTTCATTCTTCGTGGCTCCAGAGCTAAAGGAAAGGTTCTCATTCACTAAAACAACTGTTCACCTGAAAATTTGCGCATTGAATCGTATCAGTCAAGGAAGAAAACCCACGCTCTCGTCTTGCAGACAACGTTTAGACTGACGGTCGAAAGCCAACAGAAATTCATTTTAGTTAGGAAAATTGAAGTTTAAGGCCAACCAGAACGCAATCCCAATCACGCCACTCAACTATTGATGGGAAAAGTAGATGCTAGCAACGAATAAAGAGCCCAGCCTAACTGAAGGTCAGGATGGAATTGAAGGCAAACAAATGCTCCAACACCAACTTACATTGTGTGTGCAGCGGCAAACTCCTGAAGAGTGCGCCAAGTAGAGCGCAAGGATTGATAGACTCGAGCAGAGATGTCAGCACCCACACGAGCAATGTTGTCCTTCAGTTCAAGGTGAAGTCGCTTCCTTCCTTTGTGGTGTGGCATTAACACAGCGCAGGGCTAGAAAAGCGTAAAGCCAGCACCCGCAATTCGGCAAGCAAATGAAAAGCGCACGGCTAGTGTAACGAAATTCCA